GTATGTGACTTGAATAATAGTAAATTCCATAGTGATTTATTTAATTTTGATATGCATAATTTTTTGGAAAAATGATAATTAAAGACTCCCTAAGAACATTAATCCTTCATTAAGGACCATAAAATATTGAAATTCTAATTACAGATCATGAGATAAAAAACATACCTAACTTTACAAAATTATCATTTATTAAACACTAAAAGATAATAGCTTATGTTTTTGTTCTTTGTTCTTTTGGCACGAAAAATCTACTCTCATGTGCTCTCATATACATAAAAAATTTGGGTGAAAAATTAGTGGAGTGGATCATCATCTTTTCCCCTTTTTGTAATAGGTAATTGTATACATTACTTCTTTTACATCTTCTACCCTTTTGTGTGCGAAAAATCTACAATTTTACAATTTTTCTCTTCTCCATCTTTTACATCTTCTCTTTTATCATGCACAAAAGACAATTTTAATATCCTTGTAAATGTTATTTTACCCCATTTCTCTTTTATAGCTAAGAAAAAAGTAATCTTTTTAATGATTATATAAATTAAACACACACGCACGTGCGCGCATAAGAAATGATTTTTGAGAATGATAGTGTTGAGAAAAATTGAGTGAAAAAAAAATATAACATGGATGCTGAATTGTTATAATCATGATTGTGATTATGGGAATGATAGTTGCGAAGTAATAAATTTATATGTTACTTCCAGTTATTCTAGGTTTATTTTTCCTATGGCAAGTACTTCAGCAAAGGAAGTATTTTGTTATTATCACGTTGAAGGACATTTTGTAAAAAATTCATAAGGGAAGATAACCCATGAAAGAGGAAAATTAATTTCTAAATTGATTAGAAAAGCTATAAATCATGAAGAGTTGTTGACGACGGTATTATCAGTGATAGGAGCTGAAAGTGTTGCAGTTGACTTAAGATTTACAGTAAAGTTTAGTAAGAACACATACATATCTATCTTAGATGATGAGAGGATACAACATTTGATAAAGTATAATGATGAGTCTGCACATATGTATGTTGTCATAACATAAGATTGTTGATGTATAAAAAGAGATACACATATGGTGTATATATATTAAAATTAGTGTAATATAATATTGATGCCTATTTCAGGTTTAAATATGTGCAAGTGTAAATACTGTTATAACATAAAACTGCTGAAATAACCAACGTAACATAGGAATATTGTTATTGTAACTTGTGAAAACATAGAACCCTACTCAGGAATAGGTTTTCCTAGTATTTTGGACTTTTGAAGTGTAAACGTTGTCATAACATAAAACTCACTTTTGAAATGTTTCAAGACCGCTTATGAAAATACAAATGTGACTTGAGAATTCACTAACTTTAGTGAAGAATAAGAATATAAACGTGACTTATCAAATTTTATGCTTGTTAATATATAGTTTAAACTTATGGATATACTAACGTGGCATTGGAACATTGCTATTTTATATTGTGAAAATATAAAACCTCACTTGGGAAAGATTGTTTGTCATAATTTTAGAAACTAAGTTTTCAAAAGTTCCAGTGTTACTTATGAATATGCTAAGTAGCTTGGGAATTCACTAACATTACTCAAGATAATTCAACAATGACGAGTCAAATTTTATGCCTATCAATGTATAGTCAGGTCCACTTAGAATTCACTAATGTTGTACGGAAATATTGTTATCATATATTATGAAAATATAAAATCCCACTTAAGAATAGATTGTTTAACAAAAAATGACTTATTCAAATTAGGATTTACTAGCATGACTTGAGAATTCACTAATATTAGTTAAGATAATTCACCAATGACTTATTAAATCTCATGCTTGTCAATATATAATCAGGTTCACTTGGAAAATAAAGTGACTTCACTACTTAAATCACTAACGTGGCATGATAATATTACTATTGTATTTTGTGAAAACTTGAAAATGACTTGTGCAAATTGAAATTCACTAACATGGCTTGAAAATTCACTAACATCAGTCAAAATAATTCACCAATGACTTGTCCAATTTCTTGTACATTTAGCAACAAATAATTAGGATCGATTGCTGTATCATATACATTGAGCAACAAAAAACACTTAAGTACATAAAGTTTTAATTTACATCATATATATAACCAAAACATAACTTGTAAAAGTTCACATCAAAGTTGTCTAATCTATGCTTTCAATCTTTTTGGCCCTCCATGCCTGACATCTGAAACAAATGTCATCACTTGTAAGGCTATTCTATTGTATAGATGAGTCACAAGCCAATACAAAAGCTCAGATCTTATTTTACTCAAATGTTCCTACAAAATTAGAAAAACTCAATTAACAAACAAACAATACACTATTGACCAAAATGAGTGACTTACAAATGCTTTTGACTTAAAGTTATGCAATTGAAACTAATGAATAGTCAAGCTTTGCTTGAGATTGGCATCTTGTACAACAAAGTCAATCAATCCAATTCTATGTAGGTATCATGTTTCCTAAGATGCTGTACATGTAATGGCTCATTGGCTCCTTCATGTTCCCAAAGACTAACATAAAATAAGAGCCACCATATTGAGCACTATGTATCGGCTAAGTTAAATGTCCATCTGGAAGAATATCTCATCTCATCTGTAGACAAACAAGGTGAGTGCCTAGATTAAAAAAATCATAAGTGTCAAAATGGTAACATCTCTAAACTAGAATACCCCTACTGCATTCATGCATGTTGTGTATGATGTTTTCATATTTTCACTTTTAACGTTGCCCACAGTCGAAGTATATATCTTAGATATTTTCTTTTAAGAGCCAATTGTAATAAATTTTGGTCAAGATATTCTTGTAGCTCTCCCTCATCAAGAAAAAAACAAAATTCTACTATCTTTTGAAACATGTAGTGTAGTAGTAAACTCTCTCCATTCAAGATGCTACTTATCCTACCAACAATTAATGTGTTATCCATATCGGAGAAATAATGAGGCTATTGATATCTATACAGTAACAAGTGTGTCATTGAAAATTCGAAACAACATAAACAAGGAAAAAATTGATCAATTTTCAAACTAGTATGAAGATATGCATGCATCAACAAGTGAAAAATGTGAAGATAAAAAGGGAACTAAGATTTTAATCAATACGGTTGGTGCCAATGTTGTCAAATATCAAATTATCAATTCCTATTTGTTTGGAACCAGATTAGGTAAAAATACAATCCCTACTTGTTGGATGAGGACATAGATATCCCTTAAGAAGAATCATTTTGTGAAAAGGTAACTAGGATAACAAAAATGAGCTAAAGCTATAGCACAGGTTTAGGGAGGCATACTCAGAACTATAGAGATAATGAAATCTAGCTCAATGTCTTTATAATTCAAACTAGAACCCACTTTTTCCTATACTATTTTACGCACCTTCTTAGGCTCTCTAGCTTTAAAATTAAATCATACAAAAAAACTCTAACAACTATTCAAAAGCATGTAACTTTAGATAAACTCTCCATTCCTAAAGGATGATTCATATTTTGAACTTCTAAACACATGTCTAGGGAATTACTCATAATGAATTAACCTAAACTCTATAAATTAAGACTAATAGAGTCACTAGTTGTTTATGTACCAATGACAGGGTTAAGTATCACAAAAAGATAACTAATATGAAAACATCAAGTACCAAAGAAGATTAGAGAAAGTGGCGGTTCTCTATGATTAATATACATGATTAAATAAATCATTATAAGCTAGTTCAATTTAACAATTGACATGGAATAAAAGAACAGAATTTGAAAGTTCATAGGCTCAAGTCTCAATCACTCAAGTCCCCCTTTTACTAATATCATCAATTTCTAATCATATTCGATTTTTTTCTCTTTCATGGTTCATAAACAAGTCTAATACAAAGGATTAGATAGTGTATAGTTGGGTCCATGACCAACAATCTGATCATTGTTGCTTGTTCTTAACCAACCATGTAATGAGAGATTGCGAAATTATAGGCATACTAAAATTTCAAAAATAAATAATTAAGTAAAATGCTTATATGATACTATTACGAAGAGTGACCTGTTAAGATACAATGCTATCCCTAAGTGAAGAAAGATGATGTAGAACTCCTACCATAATAAAGTTTGAGACTTTATAGATGAAAATTCTCACCTTTATAGCTATACAAAGAATAGACGATGGCAAATGCAAGCAATGGCAACTTAATATACAATTGTATGCTCACGGTTGGAGCTATGGCAAGGAGTGCGAAGGAATTATGGCCAAGAGTGTGACAAAACTAAGGGGCCAAAATTGACGACAAACAAAGCAATTAGGAGAGCAAACTTATCGTCGACAATTGATGTAACACTAGAGCAAACGAGGAGACGTTGTGGAATGAGAAAGAAGGAGAACAAAGCTTCGATGAAGACTAAAATAGAGCAAGAAAAGTTAGGGCATCTTCGTGTGGGTATTTTGATTTTATCCTGAGGGACATTTAAGACAATCTGTATTTTTTTAAATTTCAATTAAGGATCATGGGATTTCAATATTTTATAGTCTTTAATTAGAATTAATATTCTTAAAGAGTCTTTAATTATCATTTTTCCTAATTTTTCTCGTTCAATGATACATATAAATATATAATATAATTATTATTTTTTTACCAAATATACTACAATTATGTTGATACATATATAATTTAGTTTTTAGTGAAAATTCATATATTCAAGGTTAAAATATATTTTTAGTCCTCTAACTTTATATAAAATTTTAATTTAATCTTTTAATTTTATAAAGTATCTTTTTAATCTTTTAATCTTAATATTGTTAATTTCAAATGATTATTTTTTTATATCAGCTATTGTTATTTTTTAAAAAAATTGATATGTCAATATTTAATAATGTTTTATCAATATTTAAAAGTTTAATTTAAAAATTCTCTCAAAATAAAATTAATAATATTACAATTAAAAGACTAAAAAAATACTTTATAAAGTTAAGAGATAAAAATAAATTATTGTATAAAATTATAAGATTAAATATATACTTTAATTTATATTAAATTATGTTAATGTGAAAACGAACACAAAAAGTCAAAAATCATATATAATGTTAGCAAATTTATTGAGCGCGAGCGCTGGACTTTCGACTTCAAATTTCAAATATTTTTCTCCGCCTGCCGCCGTCTCTTCCTCCTCCTCTACAATGGCACCCACCATCTTCATCGCCGTTCAGTGTTTCCAATGCTCCACCATGCAGGCACTCCCCCCCTTCTTCTCCCTTCTCCCTTTCTCGGTCTCTTTCTTTTTCTCCAGTTGGATGACACACTGTCGATGGTGTTCAGGTGAAGCAGAAGAAGAAGAGCAGCAACAAATGGAACTGCGCAGTGTGCAACCAGAAACAGTCCTTGACCAAAGTCTTCGCTCAGGGATTCATGGCCAGAGACATCCGCTCCTTCGTCCAGACCTTCAATATGTCCCGTAAACCCCTCGATGAACAATCTCTCTCCTCCAGAACCCTATCTCCGGCGCTAGATGATCAGGTCATAAATCACGATGACGACGACAAGTTCGACCTCCCGGTGAATCAGAGGAAGAAGCGAGGCGATTGGACCGAGTATCTAGATCCGGAGGATAATCACATCCAACAGCGAGAAAAAGTAGAAGAGGATGGTCATTATTGATTTGCAGATTAAATCGGGTTTATATTCGTTGAGGTGAACTTAATCTGTTGTGATAACATGATCTGAATTTGATTCGATATAGGTGATGGTTTTGAGGTGAAGGTTGTCACAGAATTGGAGAAGGGCATGTTCAAGAAACCTAGATTAGAAAATTACTCTCCTGGGTCGGATAGTGGAGGCAGTGACAAGCTTTTCAAGCCTCGTTTCTCAAAGAGGAATGCCAACCAAAAGATCATTTTGCGAGGTACAATTGCTTGAAAGGTTAAGAGTCATGAATAATCATATAAATATGTAACGGAGATTTCATTTTTTTTTTTTAATCTCAAAATACATTCTTCACTGCAAATAGTTTACCTAATTGGTCATTGAATGAGTACTGTGAAGTCAAATGCATCCACCCTGGTGCAGAGGAGACTGTGAAGGATCAGGTAGCCTTGACTGAGAACAATTACAAGGAACCAGATGATCAGAGGTCTCAGAGATATCAACCAACAATCAGCAGAGCAACCTCCAAATGGAAGGATTACATGACTGAGGAAGATGACAGCCTCCAGCTTGGATGGAAGAGAGCTTTCAAAAACCAAACGGATCCATGGAGCAACACTGTCTTAGAGGCCATAACTAACGAGCAAATGGTAGACGAAGATGTACACCCAGACTTCATGTGAATTACATTCCATCTTTACCCCAGTGGAGAATGATTTCTTCAATTAGTATTATTAACTAGGAATATATGCAGTGAATCACAATACGGAATCAATTTTTCTTCGTATGCTGCTCCTGAGTTATATAAATGTGATTTTGTCTTGGATCTTGTGGCTTTTTCCTTTTGTATTTATCTGCAACGCTGCTTCTTTTTCTTCTTCATCAGTGACTCAGGGTGGTTTAGGATTATCTGTTATTCATCATACAGAAAAAGAGATGGAAAAAATAATTTTAGAAATACTAAAATTCAATACAAATAAATATACAATCTAGAAAGATAATAGGCGTCATGCAGTGGCAGTGAACAAAAATTTCCCTTTTATTTTAAGGTTTCCGAGGAACCGAACCAATGCTGATGAGATAATAGGAAGCTCTGCTTTTTGGTATTAATTTGGGAATAAAGGAGACGTAATGTAAATGATCCTTCAATGTTGACGAGATTCTTCATTCTCATTTGTATTTTGTTTATGGACATTATTCAACATGGAAAATTCAAAAAAGATACCAGCCAAGTAAAGGATTGATTTAATAATTGAATTTCTTTGATGATACGTAATAAATAATATGTCCAGCTAGAACATCAATGCATCTCCATTCATTTCATTCCTTGGCTTTCCAATGCTTCCCAAGTCTGGGCAGATTTTATAATTAAAGGAATTCAGGCGCAGCATGAGGAGCAAAGGAGATCATACAAAAAATCAAGAACCTGTACAAGAAATCTCAGGACCTGTGATTGCATATAGCTCATCTGCCTGAATTAAACTCCCCAACCCCAACGAATGTTTGACTGCACAATTCCAATAGATGAACCAACACAGCGCAAATAAAAGAAAAGCAACGGAGACTGAAAAATAGATCAAAATAGGAATGAAGTCCTTCTCAGGCTAATGATCCAATTCACAACTGCCAACTCAAAATCCTAAATGAAATCCAATGATAAAATGGTCTAAATTCAAACAATTAATTGCCAAGACAAACATAACAAGATTCTCTGTCCGCTCGGAATAATTCAATCCTCCAGACCCAAAAACAAACAGATCCCATAAAGAATTGGTTCTTTGTAAGGCTCTCAGAAACATTGTTGGCTCACTGCCCATGGAAAATCGGCTCAATCTGTAGTAGAGTTAATCAAAATTGCTTCCTTCATTCAGTGATAGCGAGCCAGGCTATTCACCTATCTCAGTACCCGATGCAGTTTCATGAAGGCACTGCCTCATAATCCTTGATGTTCAATCAAATCTTCGGAAACTATGAGGATGATGACAAGAAATGATCTGGTGGTCTAGATTTTGAAAACTAAATAACACCATATTGAAACTTATAATTAATAATCGGTTTTAAATGGGGGAAAAACGTAAAACTAACATCAATCACTTCACAGTGGCCTTCATCAGGAGGATCAGCCCAACAAGCTCAATACAATCCGATGGAGACAACAAAAATACCTATATCTAATGCTCAGCCAGAACTACTAACAAACTAGAAGCTCAACAAAATTTTTATTTTTCTGCCACATCAAAATACTGGTAAAGCATTCGGACTATTTTCAAATCTAGCAGCTTTTTCTTGCCCTCTCATGACACTGATGCCCCAGCAGTGGTCTGTTTAGCCACATAGATTTGCTTCACCTTTGATGTTGAGAAACTTTTATCTGCACCCAAAGTATGGTTTCTTCCTTGCAACCCCATTCTTCGGCTAGACCATTCTCCCCCAGAACTATTTTTCTGAGTCACAGATCTCTGATAATTAGTATACCCTGAAGAATGATCATACTGCTCAGATGTATTATTTTTCTCCAAGGGCAGACTCTTGAAAGCAGCACTTGCACTGTGACTATTGCTATTGCTGGCATTGCTACTCTGAACATCAACCTTGCCAGCATCTGCAATAATGCTCACAGATGGAGTCTTGATGACACTGCCCAGCGCTGATTGCTTAGCAACTGGGGAGTTTGAAGGGTCCACTAGTCCAAGTTGATGTGGCAATCGGTTAAAATTTACAGCAGCTCCTGTAGGAAAACTCCTATCACCATCAGAAGGAGCAGAAGTTTGAGAAATGGGAAACCTATCCACATTCATTGGCTGGTCAACAGAGGGACCGTGACTATACTGAGAAGTATGCGCTCCTTCCTGCAGTGGCATTGACAGAGGAATAGATGAAAGTGGCAAATTAGGGGCATACGGCCAACGAGCTTGAACCGACATTTCAGGAGAAGACTGGCAACAGATTTCACACAAAATGCTAAGTAACCCAAACAATACTAACCACTTAACACAGATAATTGCAACACAGTAAATTGTGTTAACTTCATTATCATTTTGTGCATGATTAAAGCTACGTTGATTAATGTTAGAATTATACTACTCTTCCACTCTCAATGCAAAAAAAAAAAAAAAACATTGAAGCTAAATATGGCCATTTAAGAGACTGCTTCTAAATCACTTAACAATTACCTGGAAAGGAGAAATATCAAACATGGCCAGAGGAGAAGCCATTGGCACAAGTGGGGAACCAGGAGCAAGATGCTGTACTGGAGCAGTTATGTTAACAGGATTTCTCTGTGATGGTGCCATATTCATACTGCTCATATCTCCTTCACCAGCACCTGCTGCAGATGATGTGGAATTGTGCTTCCAATCAGACTGCTTACCTGATGGGATATAGGTGGCACCCATGAAACTCAAACCGACCTGTCCAAATTGTCCAACAGGTGCAAAATGGTTGTAAACAACCATGTGTGGCGGTGGTCCCTGGACACCTGGGATCCCTCTGGGAGGAGTAATAAAAGGGCCAGTAAATCCAGCTGCAGGTCCGTAAAAAGAATCAACACCAGAATGGCATTGTTGCCAGCTGCTAATTGGCCCTGATGCTTGCATGCTACTCTTTTGGGACTCTGGATGTGTATTAGACGCAGACTCATCATGTGGTCCAAAGGCAAAAACAGGACCACCCATCATAGGATTCATTTCGTAGAAGGGAAAATGTGGAGGAGGGCCTCCAGGAAAATGTGAAAGCATTTGACTGGAATTTTGTAGAGCTGGTAAGGGCGGCCATAATGAAATTGGTGGAGTCTCAACAGATAGATCTGCAGGAAGAGATACACTCAGAGGTTCTTCAGATCTTGCTTTACCAGCTGACTGCTGATTACTAGCAACTCCTGCAAAAGAAACTTAAAAAAAAAAACAAATCCAGACAGGTTTATGTCACATGCATATTCCCAGAAGGGTAAAGGCAAGTCATTAAGGAGAGAGAATATTCACCAGCTGCTATACCATCAATATCTACAGCTCCAAAGCTTCTAGCTTCTGAAACTGAGATTGAAGTGCCCAAACCATTTACAGCAATCTCATCACTGCTGATCGCAGCAACAGCAACAGCTGAAGCAGCTGCCTCAGCTTCAGCTTCAGCTTCACAATCTTCTAAATTGTCATGAGATCCATCACCGTGTTTCTCTTTATTATAGAAAAGACTGCAATCATGATCAGATCCAGCAGGGTTATGTGATATTTGCATGTTTGAAATTGATGAACAATGGCCAATTCCATGAGACAGTGCACGGCTACTAGGTGGAAGTACTGTCGGAGATGTTACCGCTCCTGAATAAAGAAACATATTTCCTCCATAAGTAAAACAACCAAATTTTCAGAAATATTACTTAAACATCAACAGCATTGCCTTTAAAATTTTAATTGCTTACCGAACTGAATTTTCTCTCCAGCAAGCAAGGAATTGACTGGGCTCGCAACAGAAGAAAATGGCTTTTCTCTTGTCAAGATGGATGATGTTGACAAGCTGGGCTTATTAAAGTTCACCGTCAGATCTCCACCAGAAGCCTGGGAATCAAACTGTTGAGGCTTCATAGCCTCATCCAGTTGCCTCTGTGTAAGGGCCATGACCTGCCAGGAAATCAAAGTCTTAATAAGAAGATTAACAAACTTCAAAGCAGCAGCAACAAGCTTCTTAGCAAATAACCAAAAAAAAAAATGACCCTTGTTCTGTTCTGCTAGGAGACCAAAGATGACTCCAAAGGGCAGGGATGAATGTAGGTTCTGTGACGACTAAAACTTTTTATTCTCAACATCATGCCAATACTATGACCCCCCCCCCTTTCCCCACAGACGACCTACAAAAACCCATCTTTCTGTGCAAACTATTTTATACACTGGCAAATGAAGATATAGTTTTTCTCATCACAACAGTGTAAGTCTGCAATATCATTACAATGAAGTCAAACCATGTTTCTTCTTGTGCCAAAGAATCATTAGCCACAGCAGGACAAATTCAAGAAAACACCATTTCTGTTGCAGTGGCAAAAGCAGGGAACAGACAAAATTTAAACCTGTTGACTTGTTTGTGCATTGCCCAAAGATGTCTGAACATTATTAAGAACCTTATTTTTGCTCTCAAACATCACTGCAGCCCCAAGGTTCTTCCCTCCACCAGAGACAGCTGGCAGACTCATCTGGAGTGACCTGTGGCAAAAATACAGTTAATATTATACATACAATAGATGCAAAATGAAATCTCACAAGACACCAAATACCTGCTTGTCTCTGATCTTAAATCAGGTTGAGCATCAATTTTCAAAGGGGGTGTGCCTATAGGAGCTAATGGTTGGGACATGGAGCCAGATGAAATTTCAATTTTTGGCATTCCATTCCCCTCAGAAACAAAATCAGAGTGACTACTGTTTTCTGCTTCTATTATAGGCAGAGTTCCCCTGCTATAATTGTCCTTAGCCTCAGCACCATGTGAAGCAGAACGAGGTTTCCGTGGCATCTGGCAAACATTAACTTCACAAGATTAAGAGAGATGATATAAAAAATCATGTTACAAGATGAACCAATAGAAATTATATACTTTTTGAACCTTTGCAACTCGTGACTTGGCCTTGATTTCTTTCTCTCTCTGTTCTCTCCTATCATTTAGCATTTGCCTCTTTGATCTGACTTCAATAAAATCATCTTCATCACTAGGAGCTTCAATTCCAGGTTGCTCAAACACACGTATAATTCCACTATGCAAAGGAGCATCAACTTCTTCTCCAGAACACACGTTCCGTTTAAGATGACTCTGTCCAGAAATCTTGGCTGATTCTTTTCCATCAACTTTGATAACTCTACCTCCAGAATCTACATCTTGTGACAAATCCGTAGCTGAGCTCATGCATATTGATTCCACAGCCTGTTTTCCTGCTCTATAGGAGAAAACCTTCCTCGGTCCACTTTTCACAGATGTGCCTGTACCTGTCCCATTGATATTTGACTTGCTATCTGAACAAAACTGATCAGATGAAACCAAGCCAGAGGACAGCCCCTTCTCACCACTAACACGAACTCGGAACTCAGTGCGCTGAATATTTCGACGAGGCCTCCTCTGAAATCCACTGTTTTCTGGGTGATTTAACCTTGGAGCAGGACCTGATGATTTTGAGCCAGAACCTTTTACCACAAAAGCATATCTCTTCCCTCTGCGTACAGATGCTGGATAATGTGCCTTTGACTCTTCAAAATCTTTCTCCGTTGATGCCAAGTGTAGTGACACATCTCTACCATGAGGTTGACCTTCAGAATCTCTAGCATTGGATAAGGTACCACTACTCTTCACAACTAAAGGTTGTTGCCCTCGTTCATCCATTTGAAAACCTGTAGATGTCCTAGTACTACTTTCACTATCATGAGGAATCCTTGTTTGGCTCTCATTTATTCCAGCCATATTTTCAGCACTTGGCAATGATCCTTGAGATAGGTTCACCCGACTTAAATTACTTGATTGATTATCAACAGCAGGAGACCTGATCTCACTTTTAACAAATCCATCAATAACATCCGGACCAGTCTGATGTGGCATTGGACCTCCAGGGTGATGATTAAAAGAGAATTCTGACGGAATACTAGGCTGAATAAAAGACATTGATTGAGGACCAACAGGCATCATCCCTTGAGATATGGGAGATGTGTACCTTAGCTGGCCAAATTGAAACAAAGGAGGCTGTGATGGGTGCATGTGAGAGTGGGGTGCACCAACATGTGGATGCAGATGCAGTGGCATCTGTATAGAACCAATCTGAATAGCTGGAACAGGGGACGGTATCAAAGATGGACCAGTAAAAAGACCAAATTGAAGTTTGACAGGCAGTTCAACTTGACTGGGGGCACTAGCTGCATTAGACATATTAGATAAATCCGAAGGCAAGTATGGAGCACTAGTAACTGAAGTCAATTTACTGTGATGAGCAGATAGGTCATTGTTAGAAGCTCTTGCATTGTCTAAACCCTCAGATACTATTGATGTCTGAGCTTTACTAGACTCAATGCCTAAATCTTGCATTGTCTTATCGGAATCCTGGAATGCACTAGGATCATTAAGATTTGCTTTAGAGTTGACAGGTTGAAGGGACCTGCCATCACTGCAAGCATTGCCAAAACATACATGTTCTTCCAGAGCGCCACTAGATGCTTGTGCCACGAAAGATGTTTCTTCACCTTTTAAAGTTCTCTCAAATTCATCGTTTGGCATCCCAACCTGAACACCTTCATCAAATCCTAATACTAGGTTATCCATCATATGGGGCAAACCTTTCTCCTCTAAATTCATGTTTTCAAACTCCTGGTTAAGGGCAACATTATCCTCTCCCTCATGCACTTCATCTTCTTCCTGATAATTTTCATCTTCATCATATTCTTCTTGTTCCTGGAACTGTTCATGATTCTCAGTAGTCCATTCTTCATCATCACCTGATGAGAAAGCACATGTGGAACTGACCACATTCTCATTCCCAGCTCTTGCAGAATTTACAGCTGCTTCATTTTGCTGACCAGATAGAGGGCCATTTTTGCCTTCTACAGAAGCCAGTATTGCAGGAGAAGCTCCGGAATCTTCTAAATCATCATGAGAAAGATGGGTTGGAGAACTAGGTGGACTTGAAACAGAGAGTGAAGATTGAGAATCACACCTTGGCACAGTGGGGCTCTCAACTATATGATCCTCATTCTCCTTACTATCCGACAATGCACCTACTACTTCTGGTTGTCCAGAATTCCGCTGATATGCATCATCATAACCAGTTGGTATGTCATTTGCTTGGACTGCAGCAGGATTAGGATGTGCATTTACATCCCTGTAGGTTTTGGGCACAGAAGTTAGTGATGGAGGTGGAAGAACCCGAGGCTGCCTCACAGAATACCGTGACCTCCCAACAGCATAACTTCCATCTGATTCCGAATTTGGGTAATGATGCTCAGGATAAGCAGAAAACATATTACCATGAGAACGGCCTGGTGTCCAGCCATCACTAAATCTCTCCAAATTATCAGGAAAATCAGAATCAATCTCTGTATTTCTGCTTAAATGATCTCCATTGCCAGGTTCATTCCACCTTTGCCCTTTTGCATTAGCATATTCATCCAAATGAGCACCCACAAACCCTCCCTTATTAGAGGCCCTTGAGGTCATGAATCCAGCACCTCCGTCAAATTCTTTTCTCATTAATGGCTTTCCACCAATTGGTGAATCTCTACTTGGACTGTTTGGACCATTACCTTGGCCATGCAAATAGAATATTGAGTTTCTTTCATTCTCATATACATCTCTTCTCCATGAATTCCCTGGTTTCCCTCTATCCACAAAGGAGGAAGAACTATCTCTAGGAAACTGAGGCCTTGAACTAGTCTCCAGTGACTTATTCAGGCTTGATGAAATAGAAGATCCTGAGGTTAAGATTCCTTCGACCACTCTTTCACCATCATCCCAATTGCCAACATCTGTATGCCTGGATGCATCTTTTTCCTCTCCTATCCCAGCCATTTTCTCATCTGCAACAGCCAAAGAATCATTATCAACTCTGGCTGCTTCAGCCTTCCTTCTAGCAATCCTTTCCTCCAATTCTAAAAGTTTTTGCTTAGCAGCTTGTTTCCTTCTTTCTTCCTCTAAGAGAATCCTCCGTTTCTCCTCTTCCCTAGCAACTTTCTGCTCTTCAGCTTTCCGCAAAGCTTCAATTTGTTCTTGTTCTGCTCTCCATGCTGCCTCTCTAGCTTCTTCCTCCAACCTCCTTTGCCTCTCTTCCTATAGATTCAGAACAGGAGGAGATATAAACAAAATAACTAAATTAATGATAAATTCCAACGTATAAATAATCAAAGGTAACAACTATAACTGAATAGCATATTTCAAGAAAGATAAAGACTAACAAAACCCTACCCCTATTGCAAGTGATGCCAGACACCATATTTTCCATTGAATCCAGGTAAGTTGGGAGTACGCGTGGTACTTTCAAATTATCCATAACTACCGGCAATTTAATTATGGGCCTTAATAGGTTCACAAACTTTTGTCTCACTCACAGTTTAGATTTTATCCGTCTTACTCACCAGCCTAGAGTTTTAGGAGATTTACTGTTCAGAGACATTGTTGGGGCAACAATTCCACAAGCTTTGCTTAGTCTTTTTTTCTTTGTTCTCACCTTTTTTTTCAAAAAAACTTCAATTTGTTCAAAAAGCTTCACTTTGTCAATTTTGCCACTGCACATGCTAATCCCTAGAAAAATAAAAACTAAATCTAAATATAATAATTTTCAGTTCATCTTGAGTTAAATAGAATATTATGCCAGAACAATTGGTTATGCTGTTACTTAAACTGATCAAATGATTTGAACTTATATTTGAACAAATTTGGAGGATAAGTGACATTTGATTAAACATCAAGTAGGGTGAATCTAGTTTATCCAGAAATAAATAATGAACACATCTTCTCATGCAGATTTACCTGTTCTCTGATCTGCCGTAATCTTTCTTCTTCTTCTCTTCGAGCTAACTCCAATGCCCTTTCATGTTCTTCAATATTACGTTGCCGCTCCTGTTCTTGCATCCTCTGAACTTTCTCAATTTCAGCCTCAAATGATTCCCTAGCAGGATCATGAAAATCCATTTGCTTAGGTACCTCTTTCTTCTTCTTGACCATCCCAACAAGACTTGCAGAAAAAAGATCCCTCCCATCAAATCCAGAAGCTCCAAAATCTTTCATGAAAGGATCTTCTAGGAAAGACTTTTCACTCTTTGTCAGTGTGCGCTTTTCTCTATTGAAATTAAGCAGTGGATCATCCGCAGGAAGCCCTTTAGCGCCCACTGAAGATGAGGATTTTGACACTGAACTCTGGACAGAAACTGAGCTATATCTGTTGTATTGTTCATTACCAGCAAAAGTATCCCTCACATTTCGTTCAGGCCCACGGCCATTATATGAATCCATTGTGTTGTTCCAAGATTGCCTCCCTTTCTGGCCATATCCCATCTCCCTCTTTCTAAAATCATCGTAAAGATTATCTTGGAAGGTGGATGGTATATATTTATTATCCTTCCAGGCTTCTCTATTCATGCTGGATGGCCTTACACCAACACCATTTTTCTCATTTCCCACACCTTGAACCGCAAACCCTTCCTTAGAAAGAGTTGAATTTCTCCAGGAATTTCCTTCCCGCCCCTCTCTACTAGATGCTCTGACAGGGTTTAGTTTAGGAACTTCACTGGAAGAAACTTTTCCAGTTTCATTGTCCCGCTGTCCCCATTTGTCAAAATTAAGAGCAGGCCTATGCGGCATTGCACCAACTCTGGGCAAATCAAAGTCTCTGTCCCAATAAGCTTCATTCTTCGAAAATACATGATCCCTGGCCTCTCTACTCCTGTCTGTCAAGCCATGACTGGTATCACGCTCATCATCAGCCCAGTCAGATCTAGGCTTCAATCGCACAATGGGCAGAGGACCCAGGAAATAATCTTCTTGCTTCCTATCATAATCACTCGCATAAGAACTACGGAAACTTTGAGTTTCAATGCCATCCTCGCTCAGTCCATTGCTAACACTACCATGGGATGGGTGAAACTGAGACTGTATGTCAACATGTGAGGTCAAACGTGAACCATCCGTCTGCTCAGTGGATAAATTGTCACTTACCGATTGCTTATGCTTCGGATTCAAATTCTCCTTGAGCTTCTGCGGTGGCCCTGAAGACAAAGTGGCCCGCAATGAAGGAAAATCTTCACCTCTTAGCACAGCCACCTTCTCTCCAGAAGGATGGGCTAGAGCAGCAGCAGATGTAGCTGGACTACCTCCAACCACAGCTGATCGAGCAGAAGGAGGCATATATGCACTGCTCCCCCTGCTAAACCCATCCACAGGACGCAACGCATTGTCAAATCCATCAACTGTCTGTTCACCAAACGGCTTCGTTTCTTGCAAAGCGGCGGCGGCTGGCTTGGTCCACCCCATACCAGATGAGGTGGGACGAGACCCACTTCCAGAGACCCCTCCTCCAGCAGGCCCTCCGCCCAGTCCCAAAGAATCAAACTTCTCGTGCTCCTTTCGCAAGGAAGGCAGATTCAAGGGGGGCGGAACAGAAAGCTTCGGCCCAGCCTTTTGAGAACTGCGAGGCCTTGAAAGGACCACCATAACACCCCCTCCACCTCCATGACCACTGGGCCGTGATCGACTAGATGCGTAAGAGCTAGAATGAGATGAATGATGATGAGAAGGCTGACCATAAGATTTGTTCAGATTCACAGACGCAAATTTGGTTCCGACACCGGGGTTGGCCATCGCCTTCACACGAAGGCTGAATCGTTAGGCGGATATTTTAATGTTCAAAACCCTAACTCTTGACACCGGCGTGGTGGTGAAGCTGAAGCCGAAACCGATCGCTGCGACTCCCTCAACTTTCAAAGTAGGTCGTCGAGCCTTCGCCGGACGGAAGGCGAGGAGTTCGGTGGTCGCCAATATGGTCAATCGGACCTCGGCCGCAGAACTAACGGGATGAAGAGCCCAAAAGAAAAAGAAAAAGAAAAAGAGGGCTTTCCTCTTCCCGTCTGGTTTTTCTGCCAGTTATATATATTTCATTTCATGCCTCTTTTTTTTTTTTTAGGAGGCACATGTCATGTAACCCATCTTAGTTTTGGTTTATGCTCGTATCGTTAATTTGCCCCTTATATTGTTCACTTAACCTAACTTGCGCATTCAACTTTTTTTATTTTTGACGGAGTACTAATTTTCTCAACTTATAATAGTATTAATTAATAATTAATACATGATATATTAATATTAACACAACATTATTTTTTTCAACTTCTTTCCACTCCTGCTTTCATAAAAACATCATTAATCACATTTGGAAAATCTTATCTAAAAAAAAAATCAAATTACTTCCACTAAATCTAAAGTTGTTGATTTTCCTCTCTTTGCAAGGAAAACTGCTGTCAAAGGGGGAAAAAAATCTAATATTAGTCTTTATATATTCAACTTTTTTAAAAAAAATTTAACGGGGCACTAATATTCTCAGTTCATCATCATCATCTTCACAATATTCTTTTATTTAACGTCTTGTAATATTTGAATATTATGCAGCTTAACTGAAATAATTTTCTGATGTGATTTTTTTATTAATATAATATTTGAATTCTCAATTTTATTTAAAAAGAATTAAACTGCCTTTACTTAACTTAAACTTGTTGATCTTCCTCTCTTTTCAAGGAAAACTGCCATCAAAGAGAGAAAAAATCAGGATTAAAAATTCTAATCAAATGTTACTCGTATTAACTTTCAAAATCATGAAAGGAAATTAAACTACTTGTAAGTGCAATGAATATCCTCCTTGCTAATAACAATAACAATAAGAATTACAGTTTCATATTATCTTACTATTAATGTGTCTCGACAAAGAATGACAATTTCCTATTGACATTTTTATAGGTCAAACGTATGGATACTATGCTTGATTTCTATGCATGTTTATGATTAAGTTATTTCATTCTAAGTAATCTAAGAAATCAATACATACATCTATTCCTTTAAATGCAAACTGTCTAGATAATTACAAGTTTAGAAGTTCACTTTAGAAAGTCAGTTCCAAATCAATTTGAATTGTACAGACTTTAATTTTCCCCCCTTACTTTTAACTCACTCTCATATTTTGGAACAAGCATACGTAATTGATAATGTCCAGCTAGAACGAACATACCCCGTTCCTTGCTTTTTGCTCAAGCACTCCGAATTCTGGGCTGATTTCACGATGGAAGGAATTCATGAACAACATGAGGAGCTGAGGAGAAGAGAACATGCAAAAATACAAGAACCTAGTAAACTACCTTCAACTGTCTCCGGAATGAATATCGGATGACACCGATCAAATAAATAAATAAACAGAAATATAATGAGAAAAATCCAATTTAAATAAAATAGGAATAAAATTATTGGCAGTCTACTGACCCATCCTCAACTGCGAATTCGAAAATCCTAAATGAAATCCAATGATAAAATGGTCAAAATTCAAACAGGTAATTGCTAAGACCAACATATCTAGATCCTTGATCCCTCCAGAGTAACTCAATGAATCCTGCCCAAAAAATTAAAATTTAAACCAAAAAAGAAAAATTACAAAGAATTTGGTGCTGCAAATAGCTCTCAGAAACAATGATAGATCATTGCCCAAAAAATAGCTCATGCATGCGATGTAGTTAACTCTACAATCAAAATTGTTTCATTCATTTAGTGACAATGAGCCAAGCTGTTCAACTTCAGTGCCTGATGCAGCTTCATGCAGGACTTGCATTGCCTCGGAAACCTTTATTTTCAAGTCTTCAGGAGATTCAATGAGATGGATAACCTCAGATTGGTCCATTTCCAGCAACATCCCTGTCACTTTTGCTGTATGATTTGGTGCAAGACGATCTACAAGGGGATATAGATGTTCACCTAACATCTGGTCATCACAACCAATGTTATCCAGGTTAAATTAACTTTCATGCAGTAAACCAACCCTAAACTTCATTTCAACCTACACGAAAGGAAGATAGATGCTCACCATGCGCTGATTTTCGGGTGTAGCTGAGGCCAAAGCTGAGGCAAGTGTCGTAGAAAGTGCACCAGGTCGTAGATTGTCAATGGGAGCTGAAGTAACCCCAGAACCATCAAAGGGCAATGGCATCATTGGACTCACTAGACCTTGGGGAACAACAGATGAGTCCATGCCATTTCGAGTGTTGCCCATATATCTAAACCCTTGATTGGAGTTCCGATGCACCATCTAGATTGAAAGAAATCAGATAGCTCTCAACATTGTGGAGAATTGAAAATGCTATTAATTACAACTATAGGATAAACTTGAGAGAGTCACCTGGTTTTGATGCACATGTTGGAAATTTCCACCCCGTCGAACACCCATCCTTTGCCCAGGCTGAACCTGTCTCTGAAGCTGGTATGGCATAATGAAATTTGGAGCAACACCAGGACGCATTCCGGGCAAGAGTTGTTGCTGGAAACCAAATCCAGCTGGCTGAGGTGGTATAAGCCCATGTGTTCCCTGACCGTAGTACAACTGCTGAGGGGCAAGCCTAGGTGTTCCAGGATGATATCCAGGAATTCCGGCAGGTAGAGGGGTGATTCTACCAGGTGCACGGATTTGAGCAAAATGAGCCTACAAGAGAAAGTAAATTGTGAATTTGTTCATCCAATGAGCTTTTGGATGTATGTAGCCTAAGAGGGGAGAGTCAAAAATTGAGAAACCAGGGAGTAGTGGTGAAAAACTCAAAGTTCAAATGATCCATGATTGAAACAATAACTTGTATAACCTGCAGGGCCTTTCTCTCTTCTTTCCGCTGGGCCACAGCAACATAAAGAGGTTTTCGACCTACCATTTTCCCGTTCATTTCATTTAACTGCAGAAAGAAAAGAAAAAAAATTCCAAGTATACCTTGTAAGAAAAGACAATAGCAGTTCAAGGGTCAGAACCTCTTTAAAACAAGAGTTAATGACTTACAGCTTTACTTGCTTCCTCAGGGGTAGAAAAAGCAACAAAACCAGAACCCTTGCTATGTCCATGTGAATCAAGCATAACCTGCAGACATATATAATACAATGACTTATATTGTTCCACTATTTTCTAACAGTCTAGCAGCACCCAAATGGCCAATTTAAATGCATGGGTAAAAGCATAATATTGAACAGTCCACCAACTTGCCCGTGCATGCATGTGTGCACATCCTCAAAATAGAGAGAAGATAAAAACGAATAATTGGTTTTGTCATACCTTATATGATGTAATAGTTCCGAACTCAGAAAATAGCTCCTTTAGTTTGTCATCATTGATGCTGTCATCGAGATTTTTCAAGTAGAGATTAGCACCTTGTAATTTCTCATATCTACTAATTCTTTCCTGCTCAAATTTGACCTTCAACTCTGCCTCACGTTCTGCTTTCTTCTGAGCTCTTCCTACATACAATACCTTGTCATCATTGATAATGCTTCCATTTAATCTCTCAACCGCAGCAGCTGCTGATTCTGGGTTTTGGAAATTAACAAAGCCAAAACATCGAGACTTCCCATTAGCATCTTTCATGATAACTGCACTAGTTATCGTACCATATGGCCTGAAAAGCTGTTTAAGGTCCTCATCAGAATATGTCTCAGAAAAATTTTTGACATATACATTAGTGAACTTCGGTGATCCATTTGCACGAGCCCTTTCCTGACGCCGAACAAAGAGTCCAACATAGACTTGTTTATCATTTAGCAACATACCATTCAACTGTTTGATAGCATTTTGTGCAGATTCTTCATTGTCAAATTGCACAAAACCATACCCTTTTGACTGGCCAGAGCTGTCAACAGCTACCTTGCAGGAAAGTACAGTTCCAAAGGTAGCAAAAGTGTCATGCAATGCCTTGTTATCTATTGATGTGTCCAGGTTTTTAATGAACACATTAGCATATCCACTTTTCCGAATGCTAGGATCTCTATGAGAGAACATGATACGAATGGGTTTCCCATTAAGTGGGGTAAAATTGAGAAGTTCCATGGCATTAGACGCTGCAATATGAACAAATGTTAATTCTAACAACTTTATCAGTAGTAGCAAATATATGCCTTGACTAGGAAGACATCCTGTAATAAATATGAGTTATCTTAACACCCGAAGTCACCCAGTAAGGCTTTTCATTAATTATATCCACATAACATCAATAAACAATAATAGAAAAAAGAAGGAAGAAGAAACATCATAATCCTGTATTGGAAGAAAACTAGATCATGAGCTTCAAAACCCACAAGCAATAAATACTATAAATTGATTCAGTAAAATACAAAACTTTGATCAAATCAAATCAACGATTTTAGATTCCATACAAATAAAAAATTGAAGTAATAGATAAAAGATTTGAACATAATCAGTTTAGTATACTCATCATGGATAGATTCTGATAAAAAACACTGACAAAATATTCCGCAACTCACTAAGACATTAAATTCGAACAGAATCACTTCAGTATTTCAATCGGGTGTCAAATCTGATAAAAACACTGATATGAGGAGGAAATTTAATAAAAAATCAAAGATAATTCACATAGAAAAGTGAGCCCAACAATTTAATAATAAAATTTAACGAGTTGATCAATGAAAGTACGAACCATCCTGAGCGGTGCCGTAGTTGACATAGGCGTAACCGAGAGAGGATCGCCTGGTCTGATCCCTGCAAACCCTGATGGAGACGACAGTCGCAACTTGGTTGAACAGATCATAGAGCTGCCCCTCATTCACATTCGGGTCTAGATCACCAACGTACAGTGACATATTTGAGAACTGTCCCCCGGACAATGCCGCCGCCGCAACCGACACCGGCGCCGGAGGGCCACTGGGCTGAACCATCGGTGTAGAAATCGCCGCCGCCATGGCTATCCGGAAACAAAAATTTCAACAACTGAGTCGTAGAAAAACAAAAATTCCGATAAAAACGTCGAGCAATGAGAGATAAAGAAGAAGATGAAGAACGATTCGAACAAGAGGGAGTAGTTACTAGGGATATGTCTTCACTGAAAAAACAAAAAAAATTAAAAAAAGATGGTTATTTTTTCAATCTCGGGAAGAAAAATTCCCTATTCTTGGTCTCCGAGAGTAGAGAAAAGTGGAGGGCAAGGCAAGGGAGTTACAGGAGAGAGGGAACTGGCTTATGTACATGGGTGTGACTCGGCGTCCAAACGGCGCGTTTTTTCTGTTGGCGTTTTGCAGAAATCGCGGCGTTTGGTTTTATGGGAGATGCGCACGTGAACAATGATGTCGTAGCACGTGACAGATGTTCTGTTCCCGGACATACGTCGTCGAGCTTTGAGTGCGTAACTGGAGTGTTCCGTTCCGTTGTTAGCTCGTCGCGGGCAAATAATAATAAATTCAAAAAATGAATACTTCAACTCCAAGAATTTACTCCTTCCTTTTCCGATCAAATTATAAAAAATTTTGATATAAAATTATGTACACAAATAAAATATAATAATAATATTTTATAAATTTATCTTTTTATAACAAAACTATAAACTTTTAAAGATAACTCTATACATTTAATCATTATAGCACAATATTATTTCAATTTTTTTCTTCAATTTAAGAGTAATATTAAAAAAATATTATTAATAAAACTGTATTTTTTTATATTGACTTATATTTTGAGACAATATTTTTATAAAATTATCTTATAATTTATCACGAAAGTTTACTTTTTAGATTGTCCTTATAATTTTTAAAAAATTTATATAAAAGTCCATAAAGACACGTGGTGAAACGCGAAACAAAGTCAATAAAATGATGTGGCTAACATTATGACTTTATGGATGCCATGCGTGCTTCTAACATTAATGCGGCTGGACACGTTGGAGATACAACACAATAAGTTAGGATTCAAAAACTTGTTAGAAGTAGATAAGGCCTCAAAGCTAAAGAGAGGTAAATTAATTTGTTTACTGTTGCGTTTTTATTTTTAATGTCGCGGATCATATGTTTAATCAACCAAAGTAAACAAACAAAATTTTAACAATTGAGACTAAACAAAAATTTTTAATAAATTATAAAATTGAATTTCAACGTTTAGAATATAGAAAATAAATTGAAAATTAAATGAAATTATAAGAAACACATGTACTGAGCAAATTTTGGTTGCCGTAAATACATTCAAATTCATATAGTTAGGAGTTTAGGACTTACCTTACAGAAGGTTTCATATTTCTGTCATTTTCTTTCTCTAGTTAAGATGAAATATAATCCAGAAAATCATGATTAGTGCTCAAATAAGTTTTCAAATCTCTAAATGGTACATATATGATCCAATAAATACAAATCAATCTTTTTTTTTTAATAGACTCTGCCAATTTTCTATCATCTGGTGTGACAGTATACTCTTGGGGATTGTCTCTCCTCTTGTAAATTAGGAGAAGCAAATTCTATATGTAAAACTTCTGCTGGCAATAATTCACTGTCTCAACTGCAACATCATTCCGCATACCTAGGCCTTAAACCCTTCTTGCTCGTGAAAAATCCAATGCTATTTTGCCGCCCCAGAAAGCCTATTATACTTGTTTTCTGCCCTATCAAATTCAAAGACAATATTTAATGTTTCCAAGTTAATAATGAACAATGAGTGTGCAAATTGCAGAGAAATAGCAGAGAAAATCTGTTCACTTGGTGAATGAATGTTTCTTAGAAATATTTACAAGTAACGGTCTCCAATATATATAGCCCTCAAGTGAAAGGGAATTTACAATAATATATGCGAGCGAGACGTCATCAATGACATCCAAATAAACCGAGATAAAATAGAGGAATGAAATGTAAGTTTCAGAGAAGGGAACAATTTGAATATGAATTGCTAAAGTGACAGCCAATAAGTATTTTCTATCATTATATCTGAAGAGATTCCTTACATGAAAGCTCGTTCATATATCTCACGAACACAACTCTAACTAAATTCTCACCTGCTATAAATGTTTTGCCAGCCCAGGACATTTTTACATCTTGTCAGGTTCAATACTAAATTTAAATGTTCGAATATGAAAAGAAACAAGTTTAACAGACTTGCCTGTCACCACGACAATGCACTAAAATGAGGTAAACAGGATCTTGGCAAGTAATCTGGAATAGATTCCACACGATGTAGATGCATGTCGTGATGCTGAAAATTAGGAAAACACAAATTATCCACATCCATTTAAAAAAAAAAAATTCCCACCGGTCATGTTAACAACTTTACATAAATGAACGAATCCAATTAAAATTAATTAATGCTAAATTACTGGAAATTTATTAAAATAAGGATAGTTAATTAGAAGATTGTGTTTAGTTAAATAAAGAATATCAAACTGAAGGGCATTTGGGGTAAAAATTTTAAACAACTAGCAGAAGATCTTCTAATAAGAACTGGAAGGAGAACGTCAATAAAAACTAGATAAACAAACACTTTGAGGTAAAAGAATCATTAGAAGGATAGCTTATGAAATTTTAGAAGTTAAAAAGCAAATTTTTATTTAATCTCTGAGTCATTAGTTAGTTGTATGATTGCATTTTTTTTTTTTGGGGCACGAAGAACATTTTAAGAATTGAAATATTATTTATCTAGCTAATCATAAGAAGCCATATATAATTTACTTAAAAAAAAATTTTTATTTTTTTTACAAGAACTAATTTTTTTTAGTTAAAATTAAGAGCTCTGGAAGTCTGAGTCACTAGCATTCTTCATAACGGTATTTGCTCATGTTAAAAAGTTTTAAACACCAAAATCTATGGACGTTTGGACAAAAACCAAAAAAAAAATAGAAAAGAAAAAAAAAACACCAAAATATATGGGAATGTCACCTTCGTCAGAAGTGAACTAACCTGCCAAAAGATATCAATAGAACTATCCAAAAGAGTGCAGAACTCCAACTACACTCTTTGTAGGCAACCCACACCTGATATTGTACACGTCAGTTAAAATTTTTACATTAAAACAAAAAGGATTAAAAAAAAGTACATACTTTAGCATGCTTATTCAATTTAATTGTGGCTTAGATTTGAACAAACATCATTCAGAAGTCACTCATAACTGAAACAAAATCAACAGATGATTTTCACAACTTCTCACAAAGTTAAGATTATTATTATTATTATTCATCAATTTAAGTCTCTCCGTAAGAGCTACAGAATGCTCTTGGAGGAACATTACTTGCATAAATGTATAATGTGAAATGAACTTGAAAGTAACAACCTTTTCTTCCTTATGATGTATAATAACATATTGATAAATACAAACGAAAGCACTGCTCATAGAAGCTTAATAAAATTAAATTGAAGTTATGAAATATTGCAATTGAAAACTACTTTTTATAAAATGTGAGAAAAAGAAACGATTTACTATGCTTCTTTGAACCTTGATATTCCAAGTTAATGACCATAATGTACTTTCATATAATTTACAGAAGCTAAGACAAAGTAATAGAGGCATACACCTAAAGCCACAACATTGATATAGAAGTCAATTAGTGTTGCTGTCATCCACCTGCAAACAATCGGAGCTGTTGGCATCTACTTAAGATATCAGAGTGAAACTACCAGATTCTAGAAAATCAACTGATGCAAACAAAGTTGTGAATAAAACATGGAAGATACATGGATAGGCTTGTGGTCTATAATTATACCCATAGGGGAAGACAACAAAGAAATTTCAACAATGAAAAAATATCAAAGCGCCTTATTAACTCATACTATTTTGGAATAATTGTTATCTACCCTTTGCGCACCATACAAGCTTTGAGATATTTACCAAGAAGCAAATATGCAAATGACAGAGAAAGAATTATTAGATACTTTATTTGCCAACAGTATTTGAATTTTACTGAGATCATGACTTGTGAGGGCCTAGGGAAAGTAAAAAGGTTTAAAAAAAAAAAACACTATTGGAGACCAAACGTTTTAAGTCCATTTCATTCTGACATTAGTCCATTTGGCACCAACGTTAAGTGATGAAGATAGCCATTATAGTATTGCACGATTCACAAAACAAAAAAATCAGTCCTTAACTTCAGGCAATGGTTTTTCTAAGGCCCGAGAAGGTTCATAGAACTTCTCACAATTTCATCCATATCAAAGACACAGACACTAGTAGAAAAATATATCAAAGAAGGGAAAAAGAAAAAAGAAAAGAAAACTCATGACTTCAAAAAAAAGCAAGTGGATAAGCAAATGAAATTTGAGTCACATTAAGGCAGGGTGTCTTTCCCCATTAAAAACGAAAAGAAAAGTGCTATCCCTATGCTGGTAAGAGATTTCAAATAAAACATGTATACGTTGATAGCTCTAGAAGTCCTATCATGGGACAAGAATGTTCCTTTCCACATTCTTGTGTGACAGCACATGCCTAACACACCCTATAGTAATGGAAACCAATGCATTACCTTGTCACAAAAATTAAGATGGATGAGCATATTGCATAAAACCTTTTCCTTTCATGCCATGTGTGAAACCATTTTAACAATGGGAGTGACAGTAAAAAAAAAAAAAACAAACATGAAGCACTTACGGAGTTAGAAGTTCCATCTGGAAAGGGGAACCATCAGTGATGAGAGTGTACACCAAAGTCCCTAACATTAAAGAACCCAAAACTGTAAAAAGAATTCTCAGAGTCACAACAAAAGAATGCTGCTTCCCTTTTGGCGCTGCTTCTCCACCATTCCTAGGGAAACAGGCTTTACAGTGTCAATCTGATTCAGAACTGAATGACAAGTGGAGTAACAACGTCGATGATAGAGTAAGAAATCGGTAAAAGTTGAAATCAAATGAGACATCAATAGTTGTGGGTGCATACTTGTTTGGATGCTTCAACAGAACATAATACATGGGATTTTGTGAAGATTCTTGAGATGACAACTTTGAGAATTGCACAACAATATAGGCACATGAAGTAATGCTGAGACAATAAAAAATAAGAAAGTGAACTAAATTAGCAATTCTGAGCATTCAGTCGATCATGATCCTCAAAAGCACCACAAAAGAAACAACCAAGAAGCCCATTATCAACTTGAGCTTCCAAGAATAAAACATTGGAAACAGGTTGCGTCATGAAAATAATATAAAATTGCAGAGGAACTGCCGGCTTCTAGCCTTCTACCGCAGATGCAAGCAGTGAAGTGGAGGGAAAAGAATACAAAAATAGAAACCTGGTTGAGAAATTATTTCCAAAAAGATAAAGGAAACTACGTAATGCAATTCTTCTCTCATCGGAAACCAATTCAAGGACAAAGGCATTTGGTAAGTGAACAACTTAAATTCTCAAGCGCTCAGAAAATTATTAATAATTCAATATGATGTTTAGGTATGATATTCGAGATCCCCATATTGGTTGAGTCAAATCAACATTAAGATTTAAAATTCTCCATATATATCATCCCAAAAAAATCATATCAATAAGCCTATTCAGAGAAATACAGATATAACAACCATGCAATTTTCTAAGAGCATGCTACTCAACATCAAGAGAGTTTAACTAACTAATATACAATTCTGAAATAATAAATACATTTAATCAGTGAATGAGCAGTGTCAGATCACTGCCATCCACTTGTCCAACACACATTTGTATACAACCAAGAGAATGTGATTTGTATGAATGTCATGGCAGACAAAAGTATATATAAATGGCCAAAAAATCAGAGACACTACATATCATCTGAAAAAAGTTTCCTCCCATAGTTCCAAGATGCTTTACGCTAATTCTCAATAATTTAATATAGCAAATTTGTCATGCAAATAGAATAGGTTGGCTCATGGTGAAAAGATACCTTCCAAGCCCTATGAGCAAAATTATCCACAATATTGAGCTAATCCAGTTTGATTCCTTGTGAGCAACCCAAAGCTGATATGATAAAAAGTTAAGAACTGTGTCAGTGCTAAAGAATAGTCACTAGACAAGTTAAGTTTGATCAATCATTGATTAGAAATAATTATTAAGTAATAGTCAATTTGTCATATCTTCAACGCAATTTTAACTCACTTTTCGCAAAACCTCAAGTGGATTTCGTAAGAGAAGTGTGAATATGTTACAAAAATACCAGGTTTGCTCAGTTGAACATAAATCTCAAATTTTTCAAGGGCAAATAGGACAAGTTATAATTACATTAGAATACTATTCCGAACAGGAAGAAAAAGTCAACTAAAGCATTTAATTTATGCAGTAATGCAGAGGAAGTCAAAAGCAACATAAGTTTTTCTATCTTTCTACCTTCTCGCTGAGGAATGAGACTCCTACACAAAGGTCAATTTAGATGCAAGCCCAAGTAGTCAAGTACACAAAATATCAAAGAAAGAAAAAACTATTCACTATTCAGCATAAAATATTATCACACTTTAATTTAAAGTTTACATATATAGAGGGACTGCTAGCCACGTCATTTTTATGTGGAGTTTAGCATTCTCCAAAATTTATAGTGGACCAAAAAGCCAATTTTCTCACTTGAAGGGAAACTATCATCATCATTTAATGTGTTGATCACTCATATATCTCTCTATTTAATTTTCGAATGATTAAACGTCGTGCAAGTATATTCTACCAATGCAGAAATACAGACATTTAAAAAAAAAATGGTTAACTCACCGCCAAAGCGACAACATTAATATAGAAATCAATCAAAGTTGCCGCCATCCACCTGAATCAAGTACAATAAGGAAAATTTCCAAAAGTAAAGAATTGTTTAACTGAAAAGACAAATCCGTACAAATACAAACCAATGAATATTAGATTCCACGAAAAAATATACAAATTAACAAAAAAAAAAAAGAAAAAAAGAGGTAATCTAAACCCCATACCGATCAACTTTCATGTATACGTGGGGAAACAACAGCTAACAGACCACTAAGTTGAGCAAATAAGTTGAGAAGTTTCGAGCAATAAGAATAGTACGTTACTTCTTGAACAAAAGCAAGTGAATTTCCGGGTACTGGACGACGAAACAAGTATAAGCAAAAAGACATTGAAACAGGAGCTCCTTTAAAGTTGATGTGATGCAATAAGCGGAAAACTTTTGACAATTTAAAGCTGTGTTTCGAACCGATGGTTTATATTGCACATTTTCCGGGTGGTCGGATTTATGGGCTTCGGCCCCCAACTAATGAAAAAATAATAATAACAATAATAAAATAAATCGGATTTGAACTTTGACAATAATGTCATGCTGCAGGCCGCAGCAAGCAAATTCCTCTACTAAAACTTAGTTACCAAATCAGAAAACAGAATTTAATACGCTGTATGGAATGAATTCGCTAAACTAAACATGATCAAGAGTAAATGGCGCAAAGAGAGAGAGAGATACGGAGTGAGAAGCTCTTTACGAAATGGAAGACCATCCTTGAAGATAGTATAAATAAGGGTAGCAACCATGAGAGATCCCAAAGCAGTAAACAGAGTTCTTAAGCCGATTGCCAGTGAAATCTTCGCCGTGGTTACCGAAAGGTTTTTTTTTTTTTTTTTGGGGAGGGGGTGGAGGAGAAGACAAAGAAGTTGGAGAAAGCTTTATGGAAATGAGGACAAGGGAGAACCACGTTGCAAGTTGAAAATGCAAGAGAGTGAAAGGAGCCAAACTCCTTGGCACGCAAGCATGACAGACAATTCCGGTTCATTTTCCTAATTTTCTTTTATTTCTCTTTCGTTGTGGTTATCCGTTATCCTCTTCTCTTGTCTAACTCCAATCGGCTAATCCCCATTGGTTCGATTTCTATATGTATAAAACTTTGTTCCTGCATTTTACTCTAATTAATTTTTTAATATTTTAACTTCTTATATTTTTAATTTTTATAATCTATATTCTTATAAAATTTAAAAAATAAAAATATAAAGATTTAAATTATTAAAAAAAGTTTGAAAATTTATAACAAAATTTGAGTAAAATATAAAGGTATAAAATTATGTTTTTTTTCAGTTTTGTCCAGCTAACGGAGAGGCACAACAACAGCAACAATTATAACAATAATTTTTTAAAAAATCCGTACACTTCACAATTATTCAAGGGTAAATTGTTACTTGTCAAATTTTATTAGAAAAGTTTTTAGGAAAAATTATATTGGACGTATAAGGCTCAACAACCCCATGGATCAATCTTTTTTTTTATAAATGCTGCAATAAATAATGAAAAAATTAATTTACAAGTCTTTCTATTTTTTTAAATTTTAAATTAAATTCTATAATTTATTTTGTTTTAATCAAAGTAGTTTGATTGATTATATATATTAGCTCCTAAATGTTAAAATTATAAAGGAATGATTAACTTTTCAACCCAAAACACTTTTAGAATTTATAGAAAATTTGATTTAATACTTTTAGAAAAAAGAAAAAAAATTGATTTGATGTGCGTTTAAATTTTTATTAATTTTTTATGAAAATTGTGTGTGTGTGTGTGTGTGTGAGACTATAAGTTGTTTAGAAAATATAATCTAATTTTATAAAGTTTGAATTATAAAATATATATAATTAGATGTAAAGTTATGTCATCTTTTAATAAAAATATAAAATTTCTTAATTTCATTTTAAAAAATTCAAGAATTTTGATCCTTAGAGATTAACATATTTAATTAATCAAATTATAACAGTTTAATTGAAACAAAATAAACTATAAAAATCAAATTCAAAATTGAGAGAAATTAGAAGGATTTGCACATCAACTTTTTCATGAACAATCAAGTTACATTGTTCCAAACATGCATGCATGCTCTCATCCTACCACACACATATATCTGGACTTGCATGTATGATCATGCGCATGTAAGCATACAAACACATGCATGTGCATGTGTAATTATTTTACTTTTGTTTTTATATCTTAAGTTTTTGACCCAAACTGATACAGATGACAACTTGAGAGCACCATTTGAGACATTTGATTAAGCTGGATCAATCTCCTAACCAGTTAATCCAAATCGCTTAGTGATTCGTATATAATTATTTCAAATATCTATCATCTATAGCAAAAAGTTTGGATAAACCAATTCTTATAAAAGGGTATTTTATAAAACCAAAATTATTGAATAATCAAAATGAGTATAACTCTTCAAAATTCCCTCGGGCTGGCTTTGTCAAGTTAAACACTAACACGTCTATTTTACAATTTTAGAGAACAGGAAAAGTGCTTGTGGTGGAGTTGTTAGAGATCATGGTGGAAAATGGACTATGGGGTTCTCCTTTTTATGAAACCCTCTTCCAAGTGCTATTGCTGAGGTTAAATGAATTTCTAAAGATTTGGAATGTTGTTGGGACCTTGGCCAGAGACAGGTTGAAAAGTGAACAGCGATTGCATTGAAGCTTTGAACTTGACTCTTAGGGACAACACATATCACCCTTCCCTGGATGCCAGCATCGATTCCCCGAAGCTAGAATTTTAATTCAAAGAAATTGATCTCCTCTTTTCTCTTACTTTTAGGGAGGTCAATGAATGTATTAATAGTTTAGTTAAGTTCTCTCATCATTTAGATTCCTTTTGTTTGAGCTTTTGATCATCTTTGACTTTTTTTGTAGTAAGGTGGTGGATTCCGAAATATTGACTAGATCTACTAAATTGTTGTACTATATTACTTGTACCTTTTTGGGTTGTTATTAATATAAGTCTCCATGTTATTCCAAAAAAAAAAAAAAGCCGAAGTTGAACTGAACTACAGAATATCTGCCAAATATCCAGTGAACAACCTGCTATTTCCCAAGAAAAAGTCGTTCACTACTTGCAATGCCGCCATGCAAGTGTTTGCATTGTCTGTGTAAAATAAATTATATAATTTTTTTTTTAAATTCTCATTCTCCCTGGACCATCACAGGAAATAAATAAACCATACTAATTATAAAGAAATATTAGTATCTTAATCTGTTTATTATTGGTGGAATCCATATCCAAAATCTAATGTGCTCAAAAGTCCACTTATTTTCGAAATATACGTAGGCTGAATTAACGATCGGATCTTCACTAATTTTATGCTAAAAAATTCTATTTAAAGGAAAAGCAAGAAGTCGACAATCATGCCTGGCAATGTCCATTCACCTAGAAATGTAACAGTAAAGATTTGAAAATTTCTTTCAAGGCTAAAAAATAAACCCCGTGGTAAATTAATTAAAAATGCTTTCCTCACCAAAACAGGACAGCATTTAACCTCCCCAGGAAAAAATAATAATAATAAAGATGAAAGCAAAACTAACAAGCATTATCATAGCTGGCATGCAAGAGTGTACACAAAGGGGGAAATCACTGGGGGACAAAATGGAATTTGAAGAATTTGGACCACGGCTTCGGAGATGAAGCTGTGAAGTGAATCCATATCAACATGCGCAACCACCCCTTTGCTCATTCTCAGGAACAGCCTCAGGAATCCCATGGAAATATCTGCATTTGAGATTCAACCAGAATAGTGAATCTAGGAAACCAGAGCGCACATTGTACAGATAACGGTGTCAAACTTGTTTGCCTCTAGTGATGACTATTTATAAAATAATATAATTCTAACACACATGATCGATAAAATACAGTGTAAAGCAATAAAATATTCAAATGCAATTCAAATTATATTATTTCAAAAGAAATTTAGCGATATCCACAACACTCAACATGAAGTTTCTAGTGAAGTTCAAATATAAATAGTCATTCAATGTAACCAAATATTAGAAGCACATAGCTTGTGATTGCTCTGGGAAGATGAGCTGCATTTCTTTCCGTGGCTAGGGCATGAGGAGCCAAAGGCAGAGGTACATAACAAAATCATGAAGATGGGATCCAAGGAAGCAAGTTAACTAGACTCTAAAGCTGTATTTGACGCTTCCTCTTGTTTGGTCTTTACACTTCAAAAGGCTAAGAGGGCATATTTCAGATTGGCTTCTAGTATGAACCTTTTGAAGTTGTTTTTAGCAGGGTTCAAACAAATTTTTCGCTAAAAACAGACACCTTCAACCTCGTCAAGTCGGACAATTCTAGTTTCTACACAAGTTTACATGAGTTCGCTGGGTTCCAAGTTCCACCGATTTGACATGTCTTCTTTAAGTGAAGAGATGGGCTCAAGAAACTCGGCATGGAGAACTGATTTTACATAAATCAAAAGCTTGAGCAAAAAGCACAAGCATAACTAGTATGTGCCACACAATGCATAGCAATTCACTTATTCCAACGTCATGGTTTTTCATGGATTAACAGACGTATCAATATCATGCTAGCTGTAGAATAATCAAAGAAAAACTCAAATGATACTAATTGACAGTCCCTGATTTAATAATGATTACTGCTTTAGATTTTAGAAAATGCATAAGGTAAAGCCATGAAGGACACCCTTAAGAAACTGTAAGCTCAACACAAAGGCAAGACAAAAAAACAACTCTATTACATAGAAGGCATAGAGAGGGATAAATCTGATTATATTTTAATATTAGAATTAAGATAATACCATATTAGCAGTTTCTTAGTATTGAACTATTTTCAACGATAGAAAAGCACAAGTCATATTGAATATTTAATCAATGAAACAAAGACCCCATTGTCAAAACAAGCTTTTCATCCAAAGCCATAATGATTTTTGCCCTAACCATGGCTCATTATCCGATTTCTACCCACTATCATTTGCTTGCTTGATGCGATAACATGTTTCATGCATAGCTGCTATATTAAGTGCAATTCATGACATGACAAATAATAACCCTTGTATCACTTTTCTTTATATTATCATTTACTTACATGTCTTGCTCATTCTCGTTAGCTAGAGCGGTCTTCGCAATACAAAGGAATGCCTCATCAACATTGTTATCCTCTTTAGCAGAGGTCTCAAAGTAGGGAATATTCCCTTTTGAAGCGCACCAGTCCGTTGCTTTCTTCTCAGAAACCTGCAAATCAGTTTATTAGACATCATATATGATTTAACTAAAACTAGAAGTGCAATAGCATCTTCCTACCACTCGACTGTTCCCACCATCAACATCAACCTTGTTTCCAAGCAATATAAATGGAAATGTCCTTGGATCAGGAGGGTTTGCCTGTATTACAATTTGAATAAGAATCTAAATAGAAGCTTACCTCTACAAGAAGAGCAATTCAAGAAGCCAAAAGAAAAATATTTAGAACTAAGCATAAATACCAAAACAAACAGAAATAAAACAAACTCTAAGTTTGTAGCTGCTATTTAAATTGCTGTCAGCAAATGTTGAACACAAAACCCTCCTTTTTCAAAGTTTTTGAAAACCCTATGACCCTATCAAAGTGTTGTAGGATAAGTACTACAACTTGAGGGGGGTGATAAAGATAAATGATACGATTATCCATTTTAAATTATAATCATCTAGAAATTAGGATATCAGTTAATTATTATCTAGAGATCAGCACATCAGTTTGTCATTATCTGGATTTTAAGATATAAGTAATGTAATTTATATCCATTTTTTGTGTTTATTAATATCTTCTCACAAAGTAAATGGAACATCAAATACTGCCATAACTATTAAAAAGCCTTCCTTCTTACCAAGCCTTTCAATTCATCTATTTAACCATAACTATCAACATATGTATGTGTACAAAGAACTGTAAAACTCTGAAGGGCAAAAAGATGTGCATAAAGATGTCAAGGAATTTAAAAAAAGAAAAGTGAAAAGAAACAGCTGTTTGTGATAGAAGAAAAGGGACAGTTTATATTCCACTTCAAGCTGTCAAACTAGCCATCAGAATAAGCATGCAATTACATTGTTTTTTATGATATAGCCAAGTCAAAAATTCTTAACCAGACATACTAACAAAATTACCAGCTTAACCAAATTAGACTTGTTCACACTGAAAATTCTAGTTCAAAAAAAAAAAATGCTAATATTGAAGTTTTCAGAAACACCAAGCACTCATTTGCTCGCTGGAAAAGTAAGGAAGGGAGTGGATTAAATAAATAAACATAAAAATAGAATGATCAACATGTGGATGGGAGAAGAGTTGACCATGTTCACGAGGGAGGGAGGACAATTTAGTTCGTGAGATTAGGAATTATGATTCATGAGATTTGTGGTGAGTGTGATAATGCCCACATTTGTGGTATGTTATATTAAGCTTTATCATGCTTACCACAAGGGATTGGGTAATTTAGTTCATTTTTCTTCATATTTTTTAATCCATTCCATTCCTATCATTTCTAGTAACCAAACAGCTCCTAAGTCAATAACAAGTACCAGGCACCAGAAATATTAAATTTTACAAAAGGAAACCCAGCAGATATGAAGAGATGCTGATTCTAAACAGTAACTCTTAGCAAGATAGAATCATGGAAAATCTCTAAGCTCCAACACTACTACAATCTCTAACTTATCACATTGCATCTTCAAGCAGTGAAACACAAAGGAAATGATTCATAAAACAGAGTCAAAGTATGAAAAAATCAGTTGATGATATCAGCATATTTCAAATAATAGCAGGGAACACGAGGAAAGTGATAGTATTCTGTAAAAGACCATTAATCTATTTTTCATCACTAAAATCTAAAAAACGCAATAACAGATGGAAAAACAAGATACACATTTCATAACTCAATATTTGACTTGGAAAAACAGTGAGTGGAAAAATAAAACAACAGATATCACCCGCTGGTGAGTCAAAAATGAATTTCTTCTTCAGCATCACAATGAGTTCGTACATAACATTGGTTAGGTCTAGTCATAACAAAGGAAACAAAACCTACTGGAGAGACGAAAGGGTAACAGTGTCAAATCATAGGGCAAATTGCTAGAGTTCTTTTATCCAAGATTTTAAGAATGACCTCGTGTATAGTTGGAAAACTAAAGGGAATGTTGACATCTCACATAAATATTTTTAAAAATTCTTCTACCAAGGCAAGCGAACTAATTGTCTACTTTTATTTCCTCCTTTCATTTTTCCTTTCCTCATTGTAGTTCCAAGCCCAATCAAGAACTCACTAGTTAGTAGGCTAAGTAGTAAGATGTAAGATAAGAAATAAGAAATTCTCTAGGAACAATGTTATAATGAGATGGGAAAGCAGGACTAAACAATAACAAATCTAAAAATCTCCAGCTGTCTGTCATCTGCTGACACTATGGCTCAAACTATTCAGGATAAGATACAATCTTAACAGTTAAAAGTTATCCAGGGCCTCAGACATGCTAAGGATACAAATATACAATACACAAACAATGATTGAAGTCATTCAGAACCAACTAAGCAAATAAAGCCAGAGATCAATCATAAACCATAACAATGATGAAAATATACCAAGAGGAACCAAACATGAAAGATTATCATGCATGTCACCCATAAAGAATAGCAAGATAAAGAATGATATGAAGAACCTGTTTGAGAAACTCCTCATGCCAATTGTCAAGGGTATCAAAAGACTTCATGATGTTAACATCGTATACTAGGACACAGCAATCTGCCCCTCTATAGAATGCAATTCCAAGACTCTGAAATCTTTCTTGGCCAGCAGTATCCCATATCTACCATATAGACACACCATGCATTGAAATACACAACTTTCATAGTAAACTTCCTAATAAATGAAGCAGAAAACTGAAATGCAATTAAACTAGAAAACGCACTTGTAATGTGACGAGTTTATCGTCAATCTGTAGTTCTTTTGTGACAAAATCAGCACCAATTGTAGCTTTATATTGCAGACTGAACTTCTTATGCACGTATCTATTCAAGCAGTTAATAGTCCACAAATCTTACGGCCAAGAAGGGAAGAAGTGAAAAAGATGTTCTTAAAATTGAATTGCCTTTTATATCTCGCAGGACCAGTAGCGTGCTGCGTGGTTATTGAAACAGAGACCATCCCAGTAACAAGCAAACAAAACATAACCGCAAAATTTTAAACCAAACCAAATTAAGCAATAATTTAACGTGACATGCCAAGGAGATTCAGAGTAAAGGTAAACGCACAAAAATGTTCTTCACAACACCAAAAACACAAAAGCAGATACAAAACTCCAAGATCGAGGAAATTAGCAGAAACCCACAAAGGAACAAACATTACATCACCAATCAGCAAAGCGTAACAGGGGAAGGATACTGATTCATCAACGACGTCTTTCCCACCCTGGCAATGAAGAAAAATCATAAAACGTAATTCCCCACTTGTTAACGGATGCAAAAACACAGATAATACGTGTGAGCATTTGCAGAGAAACCCTAAGAACGTACCCGCTATCGCCGAGGACGATGACCTTGAGCAAGGTTCGGGGACGCAATGACATGGCGGGGAATGGATAACAACAATGAAGATCTTCGCTTTGCTGCTTTATTTGGGTGATCCTGATTGGTGGCGAACTTTGCACTTGTCAACCAGTTCGTGAGAGCGAAGGAAAAAAGGGGCGCCAATTTCGATCGCTTTCTGCACCATTCGAGTGTTTCCAAAAACGTTCTTTGTTTCTTTCAGTTTCTGACATTCAGGAGAAAAAGGGTTATAAAAAACCATAATAAATGACTCATAACAAGTTAACAACGCCTTTCCATCATTGGCCCCTCCCAATCCCATGAGTTTTAGACAAATTAATATTTTAATCCTTAACGAAAATGGACATAATTTCTAAATAGCTTTTTAATTCATGTATAAATAGCTTTGGTATTCAAAAGTCAAAACATGATATCAGGGGAAATAAATATTTTTTTTGTATGTGATTACATTCATTCAAGCTATATACTGTCATACTGTTACTACACAAAAACAGGAAAAAAAAAATTTGGGCAAAACAAAAAAATAATAATCCATCGGCTGTGCTTCAAGATATCCAATAAATTTTATAATTTTTTATTTTATATTGAACATTATACGCTAATAATGCATCATCATCGGTGGATACTGGATAGTTAATTTATTATGATATAAGTATGCTTTCTCTGTTTAAAAATATAAAACATCTTTAATCGAATCTCACCTTTTAATAAAATAGTTACTTACTTTTCAACTAACCCAATTTTTTCATATTTATCCTTGTTAAACACCCTATAATAAATATAAAATCATTATTAATTGAGATACTTTTGAAAAAAAAAATAATTACACTTCAAAAGATTAAAAATATCTTATATTTTTTAATTTCTAACTCCTCAAAAAATATCTTATATGTTTGAATGGAGGGAGTAATATATTTGGGGTTATCTATGGTTGAGAATAGCTAGGAATGGGACAAGGAATTTTTTTATAAAAAAAATTCGTGAAAAAACATCAGGTGAGGACTCTTGGAGAAAATTTTAAATTAAAACCTTAAGGTTATGATATTACATTGCGATTCTTTGATATTTATTTGAGAATATTTTTTTTATGATAAGAGATTTAATTACCACTTTTAATGAAACAGTAACAACTAAGCTAAATAGGAAAGTAGAATGAGTTGTTGTTAATTATAAATTAGTTGTTATCAATGTTCAAATGGATAGTTATTTACGCAGGACTAATACTGTTCAACTTAACTCACCTTATCAATTTTTTTAAAAAATTATTTATTTTTGAACTAGTTGTTGCTAATTACTAAAAGTTGTTATCAAAATTCTGATAGGTACTTGTTTGTGCAAAACTAATACTTGTTCAATTATTTTCTTGTAAAAATTTGAGAATGAATTATTATTTTAAACTTTAAAAGAAATTAGGTCTTTTTTATAAAAAAAATTATTTTTAAATAAATATCATGAGGTGCAATATCAAAATCTTAAAATTCTCAGCCGACATAAAAGTTCTCCAAAGGTCATTAGCTGATATTTTCCCAAACTTCTATTTTATTTGAAAATTTATTTTTATGGTATAGTACAAAGTTTATAACGAGGACATCTATTCGAAGATCATGAATGATATTATTTTTAATCATTCATTAAATGATAAATAAAGAATATGCACATTTTAAACAATGGGATAGCATCTTATCTTATTGTACTTAAAGTGGCTAAATAAAAGCGGAAAGAATATCCAATATAATTTGATCACCATGAACAAATCAAAAACCTTTGTAATTAAATAGTCTGATTGCATGCATACAACTTTTTAATATCCGAGATATCCTAACCTATCTTTAGACCTAATATGCAAGCAATTCCTGTTTAATAATGAGTTTATTATTTTTTTTTAAATTTTTCACGTATCACTTTATTAAAAACAGTCTTATTTGACTCAGTGTCAAGTATTAAATATAAATATCTTTTCTAATAAAAATTTAAACATTAATTTATCATAATAATAAGTGTATTATTTTATTGTTAAAAAATGACAGCTAACAGTCATCACTTATTTTGTTGATAAAAAAAAATTTGCTTATTCTATTTATAACTCAGGGTTTAAAAATTAATACACATTTAAAACTTGAATCCATCTTTCCATTCTTTTTCTTTAGGAGAGAGTGAATTTTATATTTATTTTTTATCTTTCCTCATGATTTTTTTACTAACGTTTTCATTTAAGAGAAAATTTTAAAGTCATCAGACACTGTATGAAAACTTATTCAAGTTATCTATAAAAAATAAAATCTAAAGGTACATTTCTTTTTTTCATTCTTAAATCATCATCAATCATCAATATATATATATATATATATATGTGTGTGTGTGTGAAAGGTCACTGATTGGTCAAAATTTCTTTAATACTATTGGCCAATTAACTTTGATTAAATTTTAATTCTCTTCATTCATTGGTTCATTTTATTTGTCATATATTTCATTATTAAATTTTAAATATAAAATTTAAGTTTTATGAGAGCAGTAACTTCATCCATCTCAATTTTTTCATTTATCTTGTATCCCTCAATATTCTCCAATCTCTATCTTTAAAAATTTTTTATTATTAAATTTTAAATATAAAATTCAAGTTTTATGGGAGCAATAATTCCATCCATCTCAACTTTTCCATTTATATTGCATTTATCAATATTCTCCAGTCTCTATCTTTAAAAATTCATGGATCTCATTATTAAATTTTAAATATAAAATTCAAGTTTTACGGGAACAGTAACTACATTTGTCTCAGCTTTTCATTTATCTCGCTTCTCTTAATATTCTCCAATCTCCATCTTTAAGAATTCATGCATCTCATTATTAAATTTTAAAATAAAGTTTAAGTTTTATGATAATAGTAACTCCATCTATCTCAATTTTTTCATGGAATGCCAATGGCATAAGCTTGAGTATCTAGAAAGCTTGTTGTACCTTTTGGCAAGTATCTTTGTTGTTACTTGTATCGAATGATAGAAAATTATTTTGTACTCCACTACCACAAAATGAAATAAAAATGTATTAATTTGTAAAACTTTTTAATATTATTGATGAATGTTTATCTATATTACTTGGCTATATCTATTTTATCACTTACAATTTTCTTGTATCAAACCTTAGCAATTTATAAAGATTAATTCTCTCGCTTTTAAGTTATTAGACATATAATTATATATAATTTCAATAAAAAAACATTTGTGTTATAATTTTTCTGATAATACACTATAAATATGAAATCAAAATAAGAAATATAATTATGTTTTATATATTTAAAATATAAAAAAGTACATAATTCACATTTTTTGCATCATTTAAAAAAAATAAAAGGATACCTATTCAAAAGTTTTTTGCACCATAATCATGTATGATAGAATCATAAAAAATTCAATCTTTTCATACTATATTTATAATTTACTATAGACTTGAGAAACAAAGATAAGATGTATATGAATAAAATATTCAAGAAAAAGGAAAATGATTAAATAGACAAATTTTAAAAAATTTAGCAATCTTACATGTGTTTATATAAATAATATCTCAAGTGTTTGTTTTATATTTTTTAAATCCAATTCGTGCAACGTACGAAAAAATGTCTAATTAATAACAAGTTAACAAACCCACTAATGGCAGGGTTACATTATGAGTTAGAGGTACATTATCAAATTTTGAATGTTAGAGAAATTATATGGACTTGATTTAAAATCGTGAGCAAAAATGAGAACTCATTGATCAACTCTCCCTGAAAAGATAAAGATTACGTTTATTTTAACATCAGTTATTTAATGTCAAAATAAATCATTCTCACCAGCAGATGATCAAATTCAAAATATAATTAAAGTACTATCTAAAAATGACATTATTATTACTAAAATTATAGTCCATTAATAATATTAATTTTGTTGGTAAAAAATAAGAATTAATTTTATTTAAATGATATTTATGTTGTGGTAAATGATGCTTATGTTCTTAAAGACATTAATCAATATTTGATGTCTTGAATTTTATGTGGAGATAAGATTCGAAGCTTCAATTAAATTGCTACGCATATCAACTTTTTGGATTTTGCTACATGCTAGTAAGTTAATAGAGTTTTAAATTATTAGGAACCTTGTCAACGCAGTTGACGCAGGAATAGTAACATTTTATACTTGAAAAAAGAAAATCTAATTTTGAAGATTTTAACCTGATTATAAGATTATGAGTTGTAAAATGTTATTAATCATGTGTTGTAGTTAAAAATAAAGTATTGAAAATTAAATCAATCATCAAATTGATGAGGTATGAGTTCAAGGATTAATAGTCAAAATTATAACTGAATCATAATCAACCTGATCTCAAATACAACATTTCTTTAAAATAGTCAATAATCAATAATTAGTTTAATAGTTTGTTGGTTTAGCAAATTGAGTTGATCCAATTTTCAATAGTATGATTAAAAATTAAAACAACAGCAACATCCTACAATGAGCCCTAACTCAATGTGTGCTTATTGGTAAAAAGAAAGAAGAAAAAGAAAAGCCAGTGTTTGCATCTTTTCCTAACTCAATTTTTGTTGCTTTTAATTTACATTAATGTTATGAGAATCAGACCGAATTGACTGGTTTAATTGATTAAATCAAGAACTAATTATAAATCCAATTTGGTTACAACAAAAAATGCAAAGTCTAAAAATCGGTCAAAACCAATTAAGTTGGTCTCAAATTTTTCAAACCAATAGATTCATCTTGTTTTTTTAAAAATTTAATTTTATGTTTAGATGATCATACCTTTACCTTTGATCATAGAAATGTAAACAAACAGAAAAACAACTGATATTTTCTGAATCTAGCATTTTAAAGAGAGAGAACTTCATTATAGAATTTGAGATGTGACTTTATTTCGATTCAATCCTAAATGATTGTGAAATTACATTACATGACCAAAAGATTAAATTGAAATGTGTAGAAAAGTGAATAAAATGCCCTTCAGTGATTTTTTTTTGAACTTGTTATTTAGTAATATTGCTTATCAACTTAACAAAAGAACTTGTTAAAATACACATTTCACATATTTAATATTATTTTGTAATAACATGAAACGAACTTGTTAAAATCTTAATTTGACTTGTTATTTTAGCAATGTTTCTTGTAAATTCAATAAAAGAACCTTTTAACAATACATGTTGCATATTCAATCTTATTAAGTTGT